ACATGGAGCAGCAGGAGTCATTACTAGAACAGGAAAAACTATTACAGGATATGGTAAGTATAAGAGAATTATATATTATTCAAAAAGTTAAGCGTATAATAAAATATTTAATGGGTTAATTTTGGAGTTGGATATTATTTAAATTGTTTAAAAATTATCGAACAGTAATTGCATAGCCAAAGAAAAAAGAATATTTTTTCTATTAAAGCAAATTTTAATAAAAGTTTACGGATCAACGAAATTTCCTACAAATATTAACATTAATATTATTTATTATAGCTTTAGTAGGAGGTATCTTTGCAGGAACAGAATCCATACTCGCGAATGTTCGTAAAACAGATGATTGGGTCAATGGGGCTGTTGCTGGATGTACGGCAGGATTAACAGCAGGAATAAGAGGTACTCTCAACTGGTGATTTATACATATAATCGAATTTTTTAATTAGTTTTTGTGTCAATTTCTTGTTGAAATTTGTATGTAAAAAAGTTATTGCAGCACGACATAAAAAATTGTGTAGTGATTAATTCTTATAATTTATTTAGATCATTTTAATCTTATTTCTATTTTTTATTATATTTTAATTTCTCGAATTTAAAAAAAAATGATATTCTTGGTGATTTAAACAAAAGCACGTTCATACCCGATTGCGTTCGGAGCTTGTTTTGGAATGGCGACTATTTTATCAGTATACGATTGGGCTGGACAATGGCAAGGATTAACTAGTGGAATGACAGATGTTAGTATTTCTTTAAATATATATATATATATATAAAAGGGAAGGGTGATAATGTAATGAATCTAATGTATCTCGTGATACAATGATCAGAATCGTACGACGTTTATGCAATTTTATTCTGGTCACTGGATTACTATACATTCGATTCACCACATTACAAACCTTTACTATAATATCCACCTTATATATATTTCAATCACGATTATTGTCATTGATTTTTTTCTTATATTTATGATTTTTGATCGTTATCAAAAATAGGAAGAAAAACGAGAATGGAAAAAGAAGATTTATAAACATCCATCACCAACACTTCCAGAAAGACAATAACTTTCTTGTAAGTTATATGATCACGTAGAATTTAGAATATTTTATATTCGAGTTGAATTAGGACTAGGGTTTATTAAACTGGCACTTTTAGTGTCGTGTTTCCTGTCTTTTAGGATATTTAATCAAATTCTAAACTTGTGTGTGTTACATGGTGTTATTATAAGAAGAAAAATTGGGTTATCATGTGTATCACCAGGATAGTAATCGATTTCTTTAATGTATGGGTAATCTACAATTCGTAAGAATTCTTAAGAATTCTTAAGAATCATTTAGAATCATTTAAGGTTATTGCAAATAAATATAGCAATAAATTTTGATACTTAACTGAGACATAATATTGCATCTAATGAAAATCTGGTTATAGAATTATAACTATTTTAATAATAATTAATTAGTGCATCATAAGATCATAAGATTAATTTGCCTTAGATAAAAGATAAAGGTGCGAGTAAAAATAAAAAGTAATAAAAAACCATTGACATACCAAATGCAAAACTAAAAAATAATAGAATTTGTAGTTGCAACAATGAAAATAAACAAATATTCAAAAGCAAGAAACATCAAGAAAATGTTCGCTTAAAAATGGAAAAAGATTTGGTTTACATACTTTAATAGGGATGGATTGCTACTAGTGCCATTTCAACGCTAAAAAGCATAATCATCATTAATAGACCGACAAATAAATATTTCCAGATTTACGATTATGTAATAATCCAACCTTACTTCTAAACTTCAGATTTTACAGCAAAATTTTTTATAATACTAATAATGAATATAATCTGGTGCATTTCCTGCAAAGGCAAAATCAACAGTTTTGTCTAATCTTAAGACAACTGAATTTTTTTGAAATTTTTTTTACAAGACAATATTAAAAATTTAAAAATTAATGGCATTGATTTTGCTAATTCTTGCATCTCTATTCTATTTATTTTTCAACTCGATGATTCTTCAGTTTTCATATAATTCTCTGTCGATAATACATTCCGCACCATAAGCTGAGTTATTGCAGTTGAAGTAGCCAGAAAATCATCAGGAACGTTATCAGTAAAGTAAGAAGAATTTCTTGTCAAAGATAGAATAAGTATAAAAACACATGTTTTTACAAAGTAAAAATTAATTGGCCATTTTAACAAAATAAAAAATGTTTGTAAAATATTTGGAGTATAAAAAGATATAGAACAAAAAATTTCTAAAAAATTGGGTATATAAAGAAATATAAGAGCAAATAAATCTAATAAATCATAAATATAACAGATCAATAAAATTAAAATTAAAATTACGGATACTAATAATAACCCAAATAATATAAGAAATGTTAAACTAATTGAATCTAGAGGATGTTCATTAATGATAACAATAATCCAAAATGCTGGAATAACTATTACAGGAAAAAGGACTAAAAACCAAAAAATAATTTCGGAGTAAGCTTTTCCTTTAGACCCTTTAATTGTTTCATGCTTAATTATTGCGTATACAGCACAAAATACATGTAAACACATGTTTATAATAGAAAATACTTTTATAGATAACGTATCTCCATAAGTAAAAGCAACTATTAGTGGAATCGCCCAAGTAATAAGATTATATAATATATCATCTATTAATGGTAATGCCACTTTCTTAATACGTCCAGATTCTCCTCTGACATTAAATAAAAGGACGAAAAAGATTGGAAATAACGTGTTAAGAATAGCATCATATAAATCTTGTTGAGATGAATAAGAATAATCTATAATAGATGCTGTTGAAAGTTGAAGAAATGAAATGAAAATAATTTTTCTAACGATTAAGAAAAGAATTTTCATGATGAATTTAAATTTTATTTATACTCGGATGAATATTTATATATAGCCGTAAAAGTATACATCTATTGTTTTCACATTAAACATGAAATGTAAATACAGTAATATCACGATGTGCATATCAGATATATGCGTAATTACGAACGTACGTATACGTACACGCACGTGCGCAGCTTTTTTTAAAACTTTGTTTTCATTATCTTTTCTATAAAATTTAGATAATACGATTTTTTTTTATTCATTCACAACAAGCCAATTATATTAAGGTTTATTAAATTTAAAGTTATATTCTTTTAACGTTAAAATGCTTTCACTTATTTGTAAGTAGTGTTGGTTTTTCTATACGTAAATATTTGTATTTTTACGAGCATACATCGTGCTTACTTACAATACTTAGAAAACATTACAGTAAGCCATGTTAGTCGGCTAAGTCAGCTAAGCCAACTAAAAGGACACGTGTCAAATTTATGATTCAAATAATAATTCAAATCCTAACTTGGCGAACCTTGTTAAAGAAAATAGCTATTTAATTCGTGATCCTCCAGGGAACCAGTGAAATAACATAGTAAATTTTGGAGATATGTTTACTATATAAATTTTGCCTTTTTTGGAATTTGGAAGTTCCCGAAGGATAACCCGATTTTTACTAAGCAAACATCTCCTCAACTTCTAATGAAAGTTGTAGAGGAAAGAATTTTGAGCATAATGATAGTTGAAACGTTAAATTCGGCCTAGTGGATCATGATAAATAGGCATTTTTGTCTTCACAACTATATGTTTACTTCTTTGTTTATACAAAGAAGTCACGAAGACAAAAATGCCCATATCTTATGAACTACTGGGCCGAATTTAATATTTCAACTACCATTATGCTTGAAAATCACTTTTCTACAACTTTAATTAAGAATTAAAGAAAGGTTTTCTTAATAAAAAATTGATTTATCTTTTGGGAACTTCCAGATTCCAAAAAAGGCAAAAAACAATACTGTAGTAAATTTTCCCACAGTTTACTATGTTTTTTCACTGGTTCCCTGGCGGATCACAAATTAATTTATAATTATAATATATATAAAATTTTTTAATTATTATTTGTGATAATAATTATTATAATTAACTAATTAAATTATAAAATTAAATTATTTATAAAATAATTTTTTATATTTTAATTAAA